CTTGAGATGGGTGATCATCAATAAGCTCACTCATCCTTGTCGTTTATTCAGTTGTGGTCATAGATCTCGATCGGGGGATACAAAAAGTAACCAGCGAGTCGAAACGGGGCCATAGATACCTCATTCGCAAAAAAGTCCACTTAGCGTAGAGGTTCTTTTACGACACAATTTTTTCACAATTGACTTTCGGATTTGTTAAAACAGTGCTCGAAAGTTTTAAAGTTTTTTCAGAGTCTATTAACCCGAAATGTTTCACTCTCGGCTTTGTTGGAGTCCCCATTTTTGAGCGTCGGCGTCCATTTCCCCCACGGGAAGACCGCAGGCGTTCGAAAGTCCTTTCCAGCGCCTACCCGGAGACGGTCGGTCACGTTCTCGACTTCGGGTGAAGAAAGCATAAACGAGGGACGGTCATCCTACGGTTCTGGAAAATGGCTAATAACAAGGTTAAAAGGCCCTTTTCCACCCGGCTTCCTCATCAGGTTTTACGCAATATCCGTGAGGACGTCGGACGTCGAGAACAAACGGAGAAACGCTTTTCTAATCTGTGGGACGTCTGCCCTTGGGCCTTGCCCTAGACGGGTCACAAAAACAGAAGAATGCAGTCCCGAATCATTTGTACCCTCGAAGTATGTGGCCCTTGCCTACGAATTTATCGCCCGAGGTTAACGCACTCGGATAAATCCTTTAGATTAATGGAGTCCTAAAAATATCCGGATAATGGACAAGTCGATCTTCTCCGATATGTCAGGCTTTTCGGGGAAACGCTACGGTATCATTCCGTTTGAATAAACCTTTCAGTCTCAATGGTCGTTAACATTCCTGAAACACATTATCGGTGTAGATTACAAATACTGAACTGTTTGAACCAAGAAGAATTGAATCTGTTCCATCTAAATGAAACAAGGTGAGAAAAAACCGATAATATAAAGGTATTAGTCTTCGTAAAGGATAGATTACATTTTGAACAATACTTTAACAGTCAGAGTTAATATTCTTACTTTATAATATAATGTAGTTGCAATTGGATACTAGGAAGTGCGGGATTTTTGTTCCCCAAGCACTGCATCCATCTGGCTTATTGTACTTGCCGAGTCCCTTAGATCAGTCAGTCGACTCAATCCTTCCTTTAAGAAGTGTTAGGTCATTGGCTGTCGTTGCTACAATTTCTTTCCGTGTGTTTCCTTTGTATCCCAGGTTGTCTCAATTGAGTGGATGCTTCACATTCCATGATGATATGGGTGGATGTTTCTTGCGTAACCTACAAATGGTATCATCATTGAATATACACACAGTTATTAGATTTTCTCAGATGCCAGTGAACTATAGTTATACCACTCCTCGGTGTCTCTGAGTTAGTCATTTCTAACAGTAAGTTTGCAAATTTTGGTGGGCTTTTTTTGATGTTGTAGTGAGGGGACTAACATCTAAAGGGTTATTTTAGTATAAGCTTACGTAGCACTTCTATAGTTTATTCACTTCTTCTTTTGTCTTTTTTTTAAGATTCATTCTGTGATGGGGGATTCAGTTTCCCATATATAGGTTCAGGGCGTACATATGGCTTTGCAGATCCTCCTCTGGCTAGGATGTCTACCTTTTCATTACCCGAAATTTCCTCCTGGTTTAGAGATTTTGGATCCATTCAGTATCTGATTTTGATTTGATTTTTTTCACATGCTAATGCTAATGATAACTGCTTGGGCATCCGATCTTATGAGGATTTTTTGTCAGTAATTTTTTAAAAAAGTACATGCGTTGATGGCATATATTTCAGCTTGAAATAGAGAAGTGGACTCCCCTAATGAGTTTGATTGCTCAGGTTTTATGTCATGAACATAAAACGTCAATCAGGTTCTTCCGTTTTGTTCATCATTTTTTACTCATCTGTATACCAAATCATTTACCTGATCTCCTCCTGAATTCTTCTTATTCTTTGTTGTCCGTAAAGACTTTATAAAAAGTTGTGAAGAATATTTACTGGATTATGTAGCCATTCCCCATTTTTTAACAATGGGTGTCTGATTTTATTATTAATTGTTGTGTGTCCAGTTTTTACTTCCCAGCCAGTTTGATTGTTTCTGAAGTCTAAATGAGCTTTTCCGCGCATTTTCATGTATACATATTTCCGATGGAGGTAGGCTTAGCAATGTTTATAGTGCAATTGACGGGGTTGTTTTCATTGTCGTCGATGTATGGTTTGCCAGTGTTTATGTGCTGCCTAATATTTGATTAGCTTGTTTTTTTTTCCTGAGTTTTCGTCCACCACTTTAGTGAGCCATTACCATTTGGGTCTTATTACTACCGTATTAACCCAGTGGGCCATTTTTGTGTTGTCCCCAAGGTTTTTTTTTCTTGTGGTCATTAGTTATAATTTGATTGTTTGATGTGTTACAGGTAATGGTTCCAGGTTAATTTCTTATCAAAGGTTATGCCGAGGTATTTAACCTCATTTTTTAGCTACATCAATTCATTATAGAAGTATATACCTTGTATTTCTATGTTTCTTTTCATCGTAAATGTAGTTGGTGTAGTTTTTGAGGTTTAAACCTTAAAACTTTATACCTTCGTTGTACGTACCATTGCTCTACCTGTTTAACGCTCTATTAATGTTGAGGCAATTTTCCTACTAGTATTACAGTAGAATTAATTTCCCGTAAAATAATTTATATTTTATCAACAAATTGTATTCTACGTTAGTGAAATTGACAAAAGGAAATTTGCTATTTTAATGCTTGCAGACGGACTGTTAGTTTTAGGCAAGCTGATTTTTTCTGTTCGGCCGTGTATATTTAATTGTATATGCAAATGTATATGCAACAGAAAATATCGTTTCTGACCACTGATCTAGTTTTTTTTATCGCACGTGACAAGATGTTTAATACATCGTCGGACTATATCAATGGCCACATTTTTATTAACCCTTGTTACAAAAGACATGGTTATTTTATATAGTCAATACTTACAAAGGCAATCACGTGACGATATTTTTAATTACTCGTTCAATTATGATTCAACAAACCCAAAGACATTAAGAGAAAAGAGAAAATTTTAAATTATCATATTGCTCCCTGTTATTTATCAACCTGACTGTTGACATATCCCTTTATATCATTTATTAAACGAAAGGCAGAACAAAGTCCAGATTTATTTTCATGCTTTATACGTTATTTTCTACCGTTGAATAATTTGTATTCCTGTAGAAAATAATTATTAATTAGTCACTGCAAGACTGCGTGCTTATCTCCTTGGGATAAGCCAGAACAGCGCTGAGATAATCCAGCGCCCGGGTTCAATTCGGTAATCACTTCCTTGTAGACAACTTCCTCCGGCCCGCGACTCGACGTCGTCGTGAAAAATATAAACTCACAACAAAAAAAGTCCATAACAAAATGAAACGGACCAAAATGTGCGGAATTTAAATTAGAGCAATGTCACTTCGTAGGTTGTTTTAATCACATCAATTAAACCGCCCCTGTCATTAATTATTCTCACTTTCTTAAATTTGACGGCCCTAGGGAGGGTTCTATAGAATATGTTTTTTTTAAAACAAAATTTAACAGTTCTTTTCAGCCTAGATCCTACAGATTGAAATACATATATTTTCACTGTTTTTTGTTTTTTTGTTGTTCAATCAGTATTAAGAAAATCCCATAAAAAAATTATAAAAACTTAAGACTAAATTTGTTCTTCTAAGTCTTATTAGTCGAAATAGTCTGGATCTTATTATTTGTTAAATATTATATTGGTGAATCCGCCGGAGAAAGTCCGGTGGGCCGATCATGTCGAAGAATTTAAATTATCAAACCCAATTGGCCAGCTCTCTACTTTAAGCATACCGTTCTTAAACCATGATGGAGTAATCTCAGCTTGTTCGGATCGACCGATTCCCTGCCATTCTCGAAACTTGTTACGCCCCAATGGTTAACTCTAATTATTGGGCTATGTTCCAAATCTGAACATCCTGTGATGGAAGAAGAAAATGCTAGGTCAACATTACGGATTGTCATGGTGATTCAACATGTATTTCCTTTACGACCTATCCATCAGCAGTTCAAATTAGGTGATGGAAAATATCCTCTTTTGTTATCCCGATTTGCCCAAAAGCTTGAAGAGGTGTCAACTTGGGGTTTAAGACCGTCTAAAGTAACTTGCCGTCAATTATTGACCATGTCCCACAGGGCAAAACGTGGGAATGTAGAGTGAGTGAGTGACGTGCCCACGCGAATTATCCTTGATGTGCCAGCGTGCACTAGACCTGAGCATTTTAAGTACGAGGGCAATGCGCTTAACCTCGAGACGCCAATTGGCGAAGGCTGGCCATGCCCAGTGTCCCAACCCAAAAAAAATTGCCTTCTTGATCTAATATTCTACGAACGTAATAGATTTATGTTACATCTATCCTTACACAAACCATCATACCATACGAATCTGCGATTATAGAGATATTTGACTTAATATTATTATTATAAACTACTTACATATTTTAGCATTTTAATGCATATCGTTTACATAAGACGTTACAACATATAAAATCATTACAAAACGGCTAATTCATGGAAAAACTAAATTCTATTTGAATAGAGGCTTTTTAAAAACGTTATTGTATTCGCTCTTCAGCATTTAAAATCTAATTTCAAAGAGTGAGTCGACAAAAAGTTCTATAAACTCCGCTTCTATTTAATCTGGAGCCAATTGGAACGTTATATAGTCAAATTTACGTAATTTTGGTTTTTAAGATCCTTTTTCTTTAGTATAACTATGTAAATATACGGCTAAAAATATTTATTTCCCAAAATATTGTCCAGTTATGATGTCTCCCATGAATTTATTAATTAAGTGAATGTGAAAAAAAGGGGCCATTAAAGGAAGTGAAAATGATATATTACAATAAAATTCAACATGTAATTTTCGATTATTTCTAATCATTGAGGTTTTCATCAAAAAAATAAAAATTAATTAATTTATATTTTTAAGTACTGACAAGATTTTTTTAAACTTTCTAGGCTTTGTACTACTGCCAAGAATTACTACACAAGGAATTACCCAACGTTTTAAAGGTAGGAATGTTATTATTTTATATTAGATAATAGGACTAGGTGAGAGGGAGTGCGTGTATGGTGTATTTGTTTGTAAGAAAGAATGGGTAGAGATAGAGAGGGAGAGAGAGAGAAAAAGAATGATGTAGATTGTGCTGATATAGAAACCAAAAGTGGGCAAAAGGGCGAGAGAACGAGAGAGAGTGTATGAAAGAATAAAACAGTGAATCGTTTTATTTTAAACATCTCGCAAATTTAGGTCGCGAACTTACAATTATTGAGAAAGATTGGATGAGAGCAATCGAGATGAAAGAAAAAGTCAACGAAGAGAGAAGGGTGGAAAGAGAGAAGGAGAAAAAAGAGAAATAAATAAAGAGATATCAGAGAGAGAGAGAAAAAAAGGAGTGGAGGGAGGTAGAGAGAGAGAGAGAGAGAGAGAGAGAGAGAGAGAGAGAGAGAGAGCGAGAGAGAGAGGAGTGGAGAGAAAAGGAAAATTGAAGGAGAGTTGAATAAGAATGAGAGATGAAAGTGTCAGTTAGGAATGAGACACAGATAGTGAGACAAGGAATGAACTAATGAATGCAGTTTTATTTACTGCCGCAGAATTTGGTCAAATACTGACTACTCCACGTTCAACACGCACACACACACACAGAGAGAGAGAGAGAGAGAGAGAGAGAGAGAGAGAGAGAGAGAGAGAGAGAGAGTGATGAGGGAGAGTGTTAAAAAACGGCCTGAGAAATTGCAATATCCAATGTGGTTTCTATGGATTCATTCGTTTTTTCATTAAAGTGTGTATGTAGCAATTAATATAGCAATAAAAAGTCTCATATAAACAACTATATACGAGTGTCACTTTTTTTTGTCTTTAAGTGTTTAAGATTTCAACTGCAAAGAAGTAGGCGTTATTTTTATATACCAATGATTATAGAAACTTTAAAAATTGTTAATTTTTCCTCATTTATTAATTTTAACTTAAGAATATTTAACTCCTTAATCTTTTAATTTAAATTTTCAACGATAAAAGCTGTTTCTAGTTTTTCATTTGTTTAAGTAAACGTGTGTTTTTTATAATACATTTGTTTTTTAATGGTACTAGGGAAACCAATTTGCTCAAATTTTCAAAATAAACGACAGTTATTGTTAAACGGAAGAAAATGTAGAGTAAGCAAATCTCTATACTTCCAGCGCCAAATTGTTAAATAATTGGAAGCTATTAACATGATAGGGATCCGACCATTTTTTGAAATGACTCGTGCTAACCCACATCTTTAAGAACCAGTTTTACCGCTACTGCCGTCCGTCGACTCCTGAGACCAGGAATCAAAGAAACATCGAACTCGAATTAATTGATTCGTCGTCTCGGACTGCCGTAAAAAATTCGGGAAATAAATCGCCTTCTGACACAGATTCTCTCTTGGAGATTAGCATAATAATACTGTTTGAAGAGCCGACGTGACATTGTCCTTGTCAATTATTGCGCTCAACTTGCCCTACTTGGCCGCGACAACAAATCTATTCCAGTTGTCAATCATGTCATTTAATCATCAAATTTCGAGAAATATTGAACAATTTAACTGCACTATAGAGTTGGTGGAAACCAAACCAAACTAAAACTGAGAATTTATTATTTAAATGATTATCTAACAAAAAATATCTTTGTATTTTTTTTTACGAGGGTTCGCAACAGCAGAGGTTACATCAAACCTCGAAGCGCAAGTGTTTTTGAAAAAAAGCCCATTTGTAAGTACGTCGGGTTCGAACCTGGGACCTTTACCTTACAGTGATGAGCGCCGTGTCAACGTCTAAACCGTTGCGGCCACCGACGCCTTCCCCAAAATATCTTTAAACTGGAGGAAAATCTTCATATACAGACCTGACAACCACGGATATAACGTCGAATACATAGTTTTGATATATCACCAAATTGGTAACTGTTGATCTGCCAATATAGAAGCTATGTTCTTGGAAAATAATAACTATTTTGAGACCTTTTTTAAAAATCTTTTTACAAAACAAAGATTCAAATATTTTTGAATAAACCGGATTGGATGGAAATGGTTTTATAATTACATACATTGCATTTATCACCAGATCTGAAAGCAGAATTACGAAGGTCGATTTCCAGAATTGTGGAAAAATACCAGCAAAAAACTGTTATCAATATCAATACAGTGATAGTGGAAATGGTTACCCTACTAAGTTAATTTTCAGCTAAGCACAGGTGTGTTAATTTAAGCTCGTTTCGTTTTTGAAATCACACTTTGAGACAAGAGGCAGGTTTTAGGGATCAAAATGTGTATACGCTAAACATTTAGCTTCAACTCTTCGACTGTTCCACTTTGGCAGTTTCACGGTAAATTTAAGCGAGGATGAAATTTGCGGAATGCAATCTCTCTTTCGTCTTTTCTAACGGTCCCTAACGACACCGACCGCGGTCGCTATTTCGTCGGACACCAACGCTAGAAAATATCACGGTTTTAGTAAAAGAAGAAAAAACAACACGTGACAAACTAGGGAAGAAACCGGGTTAGTACATTTTTCGATACTGAGATGCTAATACAAATTTTTTATTGAAGCTGAGATAATAATGACGAAAACACTTGAAAAACACTTTAATTTTTTAAATTATTGATTTGTTTTGGGAAATATGTTCGATGACATTCGACACATCGAACAAACTGGAAGTAAAACCCACAACCTGCCTAAATCGGCTGCCAAGAGGAGAAAGCCACGCCGACCCATATGACATACCACAGACTGCTGCTAATAAGGATGTTAAACCGCCCGGTCTCGGAAGAGCTGAGGAAGCGATTTGGTTATTACGTAAAAATTATATTTGTTTTCGTTTCGTAATAAGGCGGAAAATTGTGTAACGGGTAAAACTAGACTAAAGTTCCCATTTAGAAGAAGTCCTTTCACGGTCGGCCCGCCAAAAGATATCCGCCGGATGGAAGTGCGCCGTTCGTTATCTCGAAGGCGCCCCGCATTGATTCCTTCTGTTCGATTCTGTCTTTATTATTATTTAAATTAAATGCCAGGTTATGAAAGCAGGGTTGATATTCGAAAATTGAATCCTATATAAATAATGGATGGTGATTATATTAAAGGAAAACAAAGATAAGCTTATCTATTCTTCCTGATCGTGATTTTCCCTCTTCTGTTTGTAAAATTTACTTCAAAAATTCAGAAAAAGTCTATACGTTTGCTGGAAACTGTTGAATTTTGTCGGTAAATTCCCCCCCTCGCAATTATTGTTTGTTTTTATAAAACATCATCAGTTATTGGGCCGCCTCTGAAAAACAGCAAAAGAGCTCAAGAAGCTAAATAATAAATAATACTAGCTAGCCAGATAACCTTGCACCTCGATCTAAAAAGATCTATTGTGCTCATATATTTTGTTAGAGGCCACTTGTCTGCTTGAGACTGTTGATCAAGTTCCATATCCTGACTACCAGTCCTTTCGTGTCGAAGACTGTTTTATGTTTTTGCTCACGTACTGTTTGTTGCAGAAACCTGCATAGACTCGCACGGTCTATGTGTTCCGAGATTTCAGGAAATCTCATGAGCTCCTGTCCAGCATGTCAGCCCATGTTGTGTGTCCTCAGTCGTCGGGGCACAGGCGAGGTTAGGATATTATTGTAACTGTCTTCTTCCCAGAATAGAGCCACGTTATTTAACCTCACATGAGTTGTAGCTTGGAAGCCTGACTGTCAGGGAATCTATCTTCTTCGAGTGTATTCCAACCCGATTATTGGCATATTGCTCAATTGCTATTTCCTACTGAAAAACCTACCTAGATTAACAGTCATTTTAGCCTATGGAGAACGAGAACCTAGAACCCCTGCACAATAGTACAGTACTGTTAATTCCATTACCGTTCGGGGTCCGATTGACCAAATAACTTTTTCCAATTAATTAATCTTTATGTAAGGTATTGGTTGAGATAAAAAATCAGCGTCACGAGCGATATTCGAACCCACGACGTTCGGCTACATACGCCGCTGTTCTACCACTTGAGCTATCGTGACTTCGAATCCCGTTCGTGACGCTGACTTTTTTTATCTCACCCAATACCTTACATAAAGATTGATTAATTGGAAAAAGTTGTCAATCGGACCACGAACTCTAATGGATTTAATAAAAAAATGAAGTATATACTATATGAAGTATACTAAAGCTCTCCGTGGCTATTTCATTTGTCGACGAGAATCGAATAGATTACACGACATTTCAAAAATGGCAAAAAGGAAATATAATACGAAAAGGGGGGGGTTGAGATAAAGTTGGTGTCCGAGTGGATCGCAGTCACGGTAGCTCAAGTGGCAGAGCAGCGGCGTATTTAGCCGAAAGTCGTGGGTTCGAATCCCGCTCGTCACACTGACTATTTTATCTCAACCAATACCTTACATAAAGATTAAGTACTATTAATAATGAAATATATTATACGTTTACATTTAAATATAATTGCAATCCAAAAATAAAAAAAAGCCAAATTTCATACATTTTAATATAAGTTATTGTAATAAAAGGACATTTATGTAATTTGGTAACTTGCTAATGTATCATCATTTTTAGAATTTTATATGTCAGCGAAACTTGTGTTCTGTTGTTGGCCAGTTATGCTGGCATTTTTTTTTTACTTACTCTTTACAACTTCACGTTTTATTACTTACTCTTTATAACTTCAAATTTTAGATAATTTTAATGTGAAACACAATTTTAATTTACAGCAAAACAATGATACAGGATGAAAGCTTCTCAACACTGAATTACGAAATAACTTTGAAAACTTCGAATTAAGTTTTTATCACTGAAATTTCCGACGTTTTTCCCGTGTTACGGCAAAGTTCAGCGTTTCATTAAAAGACTGGTGAACACACTTTGAACAGTTTTCAAACAGAATCTGGTATTTTAGTTTTTACCCCTTTAAATAAACAGCTTATTTAATCCCCAGGTTTCTTTTCCCCTGGGCAATTTAATTAAAAATTCTATTTGAAAGTGCAATGAGGCCAGAAATC